CCTAATTGAGCATTTTTGAGGGGCCTCAAAAAGGTGGTCTTTTTCAAAAAATAGAGAAGAGAAACTTATTCTATGTAAATATTTATTCTCTCATTGCCAAAATTATTGGTAAATAATGATTCACAAAGTTGTTGCAGGTGTCTTGGAATGCCATGTTAGATAACCCTGAATTAAATGGGTTATTGTTTAACTCTTCCCCACACCTCATCTAAATCCTAAAGTACAAAATCTAGAAAACACAGGCAATTTCAGTTATCAGACAAAGTCTTGCTAGGCTGAGGTAAGAGACAGAAGGAATTCCAATATAAGTTATGGCTGCATCTTGGAATTTATTGTAGGATCTTCATGAAGGTCAACTTGGATTTAAATAAGATTTATATAAATGGATCTGCCCTCTAGTAGTTTGCTGCTAATGGAGGTCCTTGAATTTAGAGGTCAATTGAGCAAAATAATAGGAATATTAGCACCACAACTAGTTTATAACCTTCTTTTGAGAAAACTATATGATTATTATGAATCATTTTGTAAGTTAAGCAGCAAGGGGATTAAAAATACTTGCCATTCATATAGTCATAACTGTAACAAATAGTTTGATATAAAAATCTTCAATAGAATTCTTTTAATGATTTATGATCTTATTGTTTTCCTTCTGCCCCCACTGCTTGCCTATTTGATCATCAACATCCCCTTCTCTCCTCCTCCCTTCCTCCCTTCTTTCCTCCCTCCCCCAATTTTGTTTTCCCCTGGCTCCTTCCTTATTGCCTTCAAAACCCTGATCTCCATCTTTAAAATACCCTTGACTGTAATTCCCTAACTTACCTACCCTACCTTATCAAGAGCTACTCTCCTGTCCAGCTGATGTTTTATATATCCTCCTTTTCACTGCCAAGCTCCAGGTGGGTGGAGGGATAGGGAGTAGAGGGGAACTGTCCACATTCCTTGTCTGCATTCTCTCACCTCCCACTTACTTTTTAATCCTGTACAATTTGGTTCTCAGTGGAATCCCAACATTTCCAGCAGGGAGACAGTAGGTATGCCTTGATGGATTCTCATCCTGTGGAACTAATTGCCCCAGCAATGTTGTTTGGCCTGACACACAGGCCTGGGAGCAAATATAGGTGTGAAGCATGATAGACTTGGAATGAATGGTAAGATTTTTCTAGATCGTTGGTGCTCACCAGTATATTTCATTGGAAAAAACTTGCTTCCACTGATATTTCTATGTTAATACCTCTTCTAAATCTCAGGACTAGAAAATAATTTCTCAGAATTAGAGATAATTATGAGACTTTTTTATTTTGTCAGTACGTCATATCTTAAAGGTCGTGTAGTCTGTCTCCTCATTTTATAGATGAGGAACTAAAGCTTAGAGCAGATAATTGATTTGCCCAAAGTCACACAGGTAGGAAGCAGTAGAATGTGAATACAGGTATCATCACTCCAGATCCAGTATTCTTTGCATTCTACCACATATTCAGTATAAAACTTAGAGTTTAAATAATATAAAGGTGCCAATAATTGGATGAATGAATGATGTAAGGGAAATACTAACTATAACAGGCAATTGACATTGGGAAGAATACACATCAATGGTGACTCAAATCTATACCATGGAATGAAAAAGCATTAGATGTGATGTCAGAAATCCTGAGATCAGAGTCCAGTTCTGCTACTTACTACCTGTGTGACCTTGGACAAGTCATTTAACTTCTCTTGGCCTCAGCTTTCTCATCTGTAAATCTGCAGTTTGTCCAGCTGATCTCCTACGGTCTTTCCAACTCTAAATCTATATTCCAGAAATTATTCTGAAGATTTTCCTCCTAAAAAGCCTGAGGAAAGGTTTGTTTTACAAATAAAATGTGGCTAATTCCATTACCTCTTCCTGGATCACTGCCTTGTGGTGGTAGAGAGGTTTGTGTAGTTCAATGAAACTATGGTCCGTTCTGACAAAACATGATCCACTGGAGAAGAAAATGGTAAACTGCTCTAATATCTTTGCCAAGAAAACCCCCTGGTCAGTCTTAAAATTATAAAAGATATGACACCAGAAGATGAACCCCTCAGGTCAGAAGGTGTCCAGCATGCTACTGGGAAAGAGTGGAGGACAACTACAAGTAGCTCCAGAACTAATGAAAAGACTCTCAGCTAAAAAAAAAAATGTGTCTAGAGATAAAAGGAAAATCTGATACTTTGAAGATCAATATTGCATAGGGACTTGGAATATAAAATCTATAAACCAAGGTGAGATGGAAAGATTAAACATTGGCATCTTCAGTATCAGTAAACTTAAATGGACAGGAATGGGTGAATTTAATTCAGGCGATCACAATATATACTTATATGGACAAAAATCCCTTAGGAAAAATGGATTAGTCCTTATAGTCAATAAAAGGGTGAGAAAAGTAGTACGGGGGTATGATATCAAAAAAGGCAGAATGCTATCTGTTCAAATCCAAGGCAAACCATTCAACATCACAACTATACAAATCTATGCTCTAATCACTGATGCTAAATAGGTCAAAGTAGATCAGTTCTATTAAAATCTACAATATCTTCTATAAATCGCACCCAAAAAATATCACATTCATCATAGGGGATTGGAATGTTAAAGTAAGAACTCAAAAGATAATTGGAATAACAGGCATGTTCAACCTTGGACTACAAAATGAAGCTGGACAAAGACTAAGAGAGTTTTGTTAAGATAACTTTTTAGTATAGTAAACACTCTTTTCCAACAACCCAAAAGGCAACTCTACACATGGACAACACCAGACGGTCAATATTGAAATCAGATTGATTATATACTTTGCAGCCAAAGGTGGAATTAGTTGTAGAGTGAGAACTGGAACACAAAACCGGAACAATTTTCGTGATATTAAAGATAATTGTAGGGGCAGCTAGGTGGCGCAGTAAATAGAGCTCTGGCCTTGGAGTCAGGAGGACCTGAGTTCAAATCCAACCTCAGACACTTAACACTTACTAGCTGTGACCCTGGGCAAGTCACTTAACCCCGATTGCCTCACCATAAAGCAAAATAAATAAATAAATAAATAAAAATAAAGCTAATTGTAGAGAAAAACATCTTTGAAAGACTTCAAAACTGGAATTAGAGTGGTACTCAAAACTTCAGAGAGCAAATGATCAAACATGGCTCTGGTTTCTTGGTAGAGAAGTTATAGATGAAATATACAGAATGAAACATGCAGTTTCAGACATGACCAGTGTGTTGATCTGTTTTACTTAACTATACTTATTTATTAACAGGTAAATCTTCTATTAAAGAAGAGAGTGAATTAGTAGAAACTGATAGAAATGAGGGAAAAAGAAAATCCCATCAATAAAACATGAAAAAAATCTTCAAAGGAAACCAGTACTTTCAGAAGCAGGCACAAAAATAATCTTATTATTCTCTCATTAAATGTTTATATGTATATGTATGTATGTACATGTTTATACATATATGTTCATGTGTGTATATGAATATACACACAAACAAGACAATAGAAGTTCATAGTTTCATATATGGTTCTCTTTTTTTCTCTCTAAATTGGATTATTTGTGTTTGGTGATGATTGTTCAGTTTATAACAAAAAAAATAAAAGTAAAGCGTCACATATAGACCTGATCAGCTTTGAAATCATGTTCCATGAGGAAGATATTTTGTAAGTAGCTCCCAATGAATCAATCAGACCACAATTTTTTATCACATCCAGTTCCACAGTGTTCATATAATAAACACATAAATAATCTAACATATTTTCATTGATAATAATATGAATTGTAAATGAAATAATATGATCATTGGAGATATTCAAGTTAAGGCTAAATGACCACCTGATCGTGATATAGGGGTGACTCTTTTGGGAATATGGTTAGGAGTCAATGGCTGCCATGTCCTCTTCTAACTATGACATTTGATGATTCTTGTTCATTTCATAGTTTCATAAGATCATAGGATCTCAGATTTAGAGCTATAAATGACAACAGAGGAAATCAAATCTAAAACTCTCATTTTGTAGAGGGAAAGGAAGACTCAGGAAAGTGACTTGTCCAGGGTCACACAGTTAGTATCTGAGGTGAGATTTGAATCCAGATCTTCTTTAGTCCAGGTGCAGTTAGTTCCCTGTCTCATGCAACATGTTTTCTTTCCAGTTCCTACAGTATTATTTTGTTTCCATGTGGGAAAAAATCCTTAGACCAGGGTTCTTAACATCTTTTGTCTCATGGACCCCTTTGGCAGTTCAGTAAAGCATATGGACTCCTTCTCAGAATAATGCTTTTAAATGCATTTTTAAAATGCATAGGTTTATAAAGAAAACCAATTATATTAAAATAAAGTCATCAAAAGTGCATAGGTTAAGAACTTATGCCTTAGAGTTTAAGACAAGGGTTTCCAATGAATACATGAGACTTACTTCATATATTTCTTTATCTTGGCTCTTCTCTGCAAATTTGTCAGAGGAAAAGCAGCAGAGTTGACGTCAGTGTGGTACTTCCCCTGATCTGCTCAGAAATTTTCACTCAATGTCACTAGCCCAGCCTTATACTTTTATCTATACTCAGCGCTGTAGATCTCCTTCCTCTCCATCTTTCCTATGACTTGACTTCCAGCCTCTGTTATCTCAAGGAGAAATCGTAAGTTGTTCCACCTAATAAAAAATTTAAGGACTCTTACTTTAGGAAATGAGTCAAACAGTAGAACGATTTTTTTCCCTGTGCAACTAACCTGTCTAATTCCAATGTTTGTACTTTTCTTAATTGAGGGAAGAACAGGGGTGGAATTACTCACCCATCCTTCAATATGTATCAAAACTTTTGTGATTTTGGAATGCAAGCCCTAGGTGTGTGATCTTTGAAGATGAAGAGCCACAATATATAGAAAACTGGATGAAAATCTATTTGGTACAAGTAAATTATATGACTTTTCTGTAGTACAATGTTTCCTACATGATGTTTGTCTCTCAGTACAACGTTCTCTGTTCTCTTTTGTGTGTTTTCAGAGATCATCTATAGCTGGGTGTTTAATGAGTTTCCCTCCTCTGTGGCAGAAGACAGCAGACGCTTCATTTCCCAGGAGACAGGCAATCTCTACATCTCTAAAGTACAAACATCAGATGTTGGCAGTTACATATGCCTAGTGAAAAACACCGTGACAAATGCTCGAGTTCTTAGCCCTCCAACACCACTCACACTGCGCAATGATGGTGAGTGACATAGTATGTGCAGAAGGGGTCATCCATTTCAAATGGGAAAGATAAAAATTTATTAGAAGAGCATTACACCCAAGGCTTGAACACAGAACCAATAAAATCAGAATGGCATTTACTCTATTTGGACACTGTACTTTTTTTTAAAAGATTGAGATTAGGTGTATTTAGTAAGAACATTCTGCTTTTAGAAAAGACATGATCCATAGATGAAGAGTATTCACAGTAATAGCACTCTCGTTCCACCATAAAGTTACTGACAAAACGGCTCCTGAAATAAAAGCCCAGAAGTTATTTTCTTTGCGATTTAGTAGCTTCATATAGCATACTTGTATGAATTGCCTGCATTTTATAGGTTCACTTTCTCATTACATTTTTATTTCAGCAGCCTTAGAATGGAGTTTTCAGCTTTTAATACTTCATGGTAGAGTTATAATTATTATTACTTTTTCAATAATATGAGCGGTTAGAACTTTAACTTTTTAGTGCAATTCAGGCAGAAGTGATGATCCCATAATTATAGGTATTGCCATCTACCTTGAGTATCTCAGAGTTTAAACACCTCATTTGTATAGTCACAGTAAAGCATTTCATTAAAGAAGTCAAGTACCACATTAGATTTTATATATAGTATGTGGCTTGCTTTGTCATGTGATTTAAAAAATCTATAAGTACATTACTGTGGAGTGAGCTTTGAGAATCTTACTTGATTGGGAAGTTAAATATATTTCTCAAAACTATTTTTGTTCAGTCTGCCTGTTACTAAAACTTTTGGTACCAGAGTACATGGATGGCATTTATCTCTTAAGATGATTTTCAGCTTAGTATTTGACTTGGCAATTTATTTATTTTTGAAGACATGGGAACAATGTAGCTATCACTCAACAGTATTCTAATTCTTTCCATAATTGAACCTTTCTTCATTGAAATAGTTTATCCTTTTTTTCTACAACCTGAAACTTCTCACTGCCCAATTATTATTCATTTTTCTCATACTACGTATTCATATATATTGGAAGTATGTGTGATTTCTTTAGTGAGGGGAGCTTCTGGTGTTGGAATTCCCTACCTGTAGACAACTACTCTATCATGACATCACATTAAGGTGGTGTCTAAGGCACTAAGAGGTTAAGTGATTTACACAGAATCATAAAGATAATAAGTGCCAGGGGCAGCATTTAAACTTGGAATTCCTAACTTCAAGTCTAGCATCCTTGCCGCTGTACCACACTTCCTCTATGTGTTTTTACTAATGTTCTGTTCTCCTGATTTATGCTTGATTGCCTAACATATTTTCAAAGCTATCATTCTATGAAAAATTTCTTAGAAGAATTAAATATTCTGACAGACTGGCAAACCCAACTGCATCCACATATTCCCAGAATGCTTTGATCCTCAAACTTCACCCAAATATTCATAGAATGCTTTGATCCTCCTTAACATTGTTTTGAATTCAGTATACTTTCCCAGAACTATGAAAACTTTAATGAGTTTATTTAGGAGTTGGACAATCCATATGTGAAAAGTGGGTGAAAAAATCAAGAGAAAAAGGAAGAATCAATACAATCAAATAAAGAGTTATACTTCATACATTAGACTCACACATAGAGAAAATTCTCTTAAAAACAAAGAGCTTAACATAAACATATTTGGCCAATTTAAGATTGTACTTATCTAAGATATCTCTATTCAATAAAATATTATTGAGAGAATATTTGCCCCCAAATGAACTTTCCCTGAAAAGTTAAATGGGAAAGTTTTAAATTGGTAAATTCCACCATTAGATCTGTCTTCTAAAAATAAAAATAGACCATGTCTGTGGCTAGACCTATTTATTACCCTGTGGTCAGCCAAAATTCTTGCAGGATTTTAAAAATGGCTCAGTGCAGATGCAGGCATCATAACAGATGTTTCTGTGGAGTTTGAAGACCTATCTCTACAGAAATTCAAATGTAAAAAAAAATACATTTAATCTGCTATGACTATATTTCTAAAATAACAATCACTTGTGGGATATACTATTAGAATTTTTTTTCTTAAGAGCCCACTTTTAAAACAAATGACACAAGGTACATTTGTAGTGAAGAATTTATAAAGACAGTAACAACTAACAGGGATTAGAAAAGGCTGCATGTAGCAGGTAGCATTTTGAGATGAGTCTTGAAGGAAATTAAAGGATTTATGAGGCAGAGGTGACAAGGACATATATGGGGGCCAAAAATGAGAAATGAAGTATGGTGGAAGAAACAGCAAGAAAGCCAGTTTGGCTGAACAGAATAATGCATGAAGAGCAGTGATGTATAATAAGTCTGTAAAGGTAATTAATTAAATAATGATAATAATAACTAACATTTATATAGTGCTTACTATGTATCAGTAACTATGCTAAGTGGTGTGAGATCATTATCTCATTTGACATAGATTGAAGTCACTTTGGGGAGGGGTTTTAAATGCCAAATAGAGAAATTTATGTTTGATCCTCCTAAAGACAAAAGGGAATCAGTGGAGGTTATTGAGCAGGTGAGTGATATGATCAGATCTGAGCTTAAAAATCCTTACCTTCAGTCTCCTCAGCTATAAAATAACACTGTTTCATTGACCTCAGAAATTTATTATTAATTTCTAATAAGAAAATGTATGTTCAAGAATCCTGAGAGTAAAGATTCAAAAGCAAAGTATTATTTGATTTAATATCCATGCTCTCTACTTCTTTTAACACATGTACACATAGTATCTGATAATAATTATAATAATAATAGCATGCATATAAAAGTTTAATGTTTGCAAAGCACTTTACAAATATTATCCGATTTTATACTCACAACAACCCTGAGAGGTAGATGCTATTATTACGCTCATTTTGCAGATAAGAAACTTGAGACAGAGAGAGGTTAAGTGACTTACCCCTTATACATCTAGTTGTTTCTGAGTTCAACTTTGGCCTCAGGCCAAAGTTGCTCTACCCCACTGCCTTGGGAGTTGTTACAAGTTAATGAATAACATAAAGCAATCCTATTGCCACCCAAGAAATAAACATTTGTTTTATTTAAAGAATAAGGATGTCATTTGCAGAAGGACAGGGCAAGAGAGTATGATTTTACATAGGAAGATAATGATGATGATCAAAAATACTTGAATTGGTAATGAAAGGATGATAGTATATACAATTTTTTAAAAATTAAGTTAAACTTGCAAGTGGATTATAATGATGTTATACACATTCCTTTAATATTGATACTATACTTTTTGCATTTATATAGCTGTAGAATGATCACAGGAAGCATTACTGTTGTCCTGTTCTTTTCTCCTCCAAGCCTCAAGATTAGGCCAAGCCATCATTTCTGAAATTCAATGAGCTCAGCCTAGGTTTCTGATCAGTATATTGTCAGGAAAACATATCTTAACTGTTTTAGGTTTTAGGTATTCCCAGATTTGTTTGTTTGTTTTTCATTTCCTTCCCCAAGTTCCACTTCTTAGGTTCAGAAATGAACCCAGGAGATGTCTTATTCTACTTGCAACACTAATCTGTTGTTCAGAGTTTTCAATTTATGGGCAATAACAGAAGAACTTGGAAGGCGTTTGACAAGAACACTCTGGAAACAGAATAATATTAAGGCTTTATGTCAAACTCTGCAGGAATGCAGAAACTTATTTGGCTTTTATTAATCTTTTATTTCTTTAGCTATGTGTCTCAAAGGAAAACTTATCTACTTGATATGAAGCAAATTAAATGAAAACATCAAGAAATCCTTGAATGATTTCTGAATAAAATGAATACCTCATTTGCTCAGATGTCCTTGACAGTCATTCCATACAATTCAATTTCACCTCAAAGAGACTTATAAAAAATGATTTGAAATTCTATCTAAAGAGATAAGATTTACCACCAAAAAAAAAAAAAAAACTTTGCATCGTTACATCAGCTCTCTTTATATTTCTTAGAAACTTGGAAGAATTGTTTAATAAATATATATATATATAAATAGTAAAATGAAGCTGTTAAACACACATGATACATATGAAACATACATATAATGTATGTGTGGGTATTTTACATATATGTGTGTGTTTCCTTATCAAGAAACTCAATTCTATTAAAGATAAAAACATTATAAAATTGTGTTTTTTAAGTCTGGAAGTCATATCCCAGGGTGTGTAAACTTTGGAGTTGGTAACTATTCAATGGACACTATAAAAGCAGTATTTTCTATGTGAATAGTCTACTGTCTCTATTTGAAAACCACTCTACCAATGTACCATTAGTAGATAAACACTTGACATTGTTTTGCTATAGCAATTGTGGTACTTCAAAGAATTTTGATCTCTCCTTTTCCTTTCACTGACAAACTTCTTAATGTCATAGTCAATGATCATTGCTTACATTGACTTACCTTGAGATCACTCCCTAACTACAGGCAGCCCTACTAAACTATTGTCAACTCCTAAATAACTAAATCCAGTGACATTGTCTTTATCTTCTTTAATCTTTCTTCTGTACGTGGAAGAGATGATCATCCTTTTCTTTTTCCTGCAATCTCTGTCATATCTCCCACATCTTCTCCCTCCTTTCCCTTCCCCATTGTTATTATCTTCATTCAGACCTAGTTTCCTTACCAGTGCCCCTGTCTCTAGCTTGTGACCTCTTTCTTCTAATGATGATAATATAATTTACATAGAGGAGTAGTATAACTTAGTGAATACAGAGCTTGCCTCAAAAGAAAGACATGGGTTCAAGAATCTAACATCTGACATTGAATGGCTATGGGATCCCTGGAAAGTCAATTGATGCCCTTTTTATTGCCCTCCTTATGCTTTAAACACCGCAGCTAGGTGCAAAAATAGATTCAACAGTTGTGTATAACACAGCTCCAATGGAATGGGCACATTGGAGAAAATGGAGAAAAATATTTCTCAAATCACCAGGAAGAAGAGAATCAGTGAGGCTAACTGGGAAATGTGCTAGGAGTATCCCATATAAATGAGATTGGAATTGTGCT